TGCTGCTGCTGCTGCTGGTGCTGCGAGCAAGGACGACAGCAAAAGTAAGCAGCGTCAAAAACACATCAGCCAACGAGTCGCGAAGACATTGTATTCAGGCAGCAGCAATGCTAAACGCAGAGGTTGACGATTGTGAATCGAAGGTTGTCCATCGCCTCCATATTCGTGACCACTTTTGTTTATTCCTTGCATCTTCGTCCTAGTTCGTGCTCATGACCATCCTCACACTTTCGGTTTACGGCAATGCTGATAGCACGAATTACATTACACTGTAGTATGTAAGGGAATCTTGACCACAACAGAACGGCGATCCACAAACCGGAAGGATACATGGCTAATCATGAGATTTGCAACGGTCTGCATGACGGTGCTCGTCATCGCCGTCCTCATCCTCATCCTCTTCACACTGCGTGTGCCAAGCTGTGCACTTTAAGCTCGTCCTTCTGAAGATTTCATTGATCTGATGCCGTCGTCGCAGTCTCTGGCCGATCGCACGAAGCGCCTACTTGTCGGCTCTGCTCTACCGCATCTCGGTACAAAGATGTGTTGCTGCTGCTTCTTCGCACTTGTTGCACAATGAGTCCAGAAGTTGAGCAGACTGAGTGCTAGAAATTGTATCCTCAGACACAGGTATCATGTGTGTGAGCTGAAAGATGCAGATCAAGGGCTTCGACCTTCACATCTGGGACGAATCTGCTTTGCGAAGAGATCTCCTCTATCTTTATCTCCTCTTTCTCGTCAGGGGTAGCGTCTCGGCTTGGGCTTGGCACCCGCAAGGCTGAGGCGACCTTATCCCTATGCCGAGTTTAGCTGTCGGAGGCAACAACCCGGTAACCCTGCGAGCAACAGAAGGCAGATCTGCCACGAGGCTCAAGGAGCTTCACTCAGAGCCGATACGATTCCCAAACCCAAATCCAATGCTCGCGATCGACTTGGGCTGCCTTCACACAGGTGGCTCATGTCGTGGGCCGGCTTCCATGCACCGAGGCACTTGCAATCCAGTGTCCACCAAGCATTTTTTGACTGTTTCACTGACCTCCCCGTTCGCGTAGAATCTGATGCGACGTCCGGAGCTTGGGATTGGAAGGTCCGGCCAACTTTGGTTACAGTCGTCGCCTGCTCACGTGCATGTTTCGACTGGCACTACAGAAGATGCGCTAGCTGCAAAGGTAAGCACGTGTTCACATGTCTCACCACAGACAGACCCAAACAAGACCTCGCCAATGCCAGGGTAACTAAACCAGGGAAGGCTCGATGCTGGTCTCAGGACATGTCCGCCCTCGGTTGTCTCAGAAATATCAAGTTTTCGATACTTCACTCTGACTCTTAATAGCGGTTCCTTCAAGAACCGGAGCCTGGGAGTCTTTGAAGCTGGACACTTCAAGAAGACCCCGCCAGGAGGCAGTTGCGGGAGTCTCTTGGTCTGGGTGCGCTGCAGCTGCTAGAGGCGCCGGGGGACCCAGAGATTCACAGCGTTTAGTAACTCTGTTTCCATACAAGGCTCCGCTTGCATGTTACTGTATGCAGTGTCATCCGGATGCTTTTGCGCCTGCAGCGTATATGTGCAGTGTGTAGTCGGACGAGCATGGCGCCACATCTGCTGACCTGAACCAAAAATCAAAGGTTCGCAATAAGTTTCACGACACCCGTCCAGGCCCATCACAGAGGCGAATGGAGGCCAGCCCCCAGTGGAGTGCAGCTGGCGGCATGTCCTCTCCAAACAAAAGAAACGCTGCTCGCACTTGGCAGATAATACAGCTTGTGCCTCCTCGTGGAGCTTCGGTAGAGCGGTGTTCCGAAATCCCACGCCCGACATGCACAAGCATGCATTGTCGCAGTTGGCTACATTGGGTCAGAGCCCCATCCTGTCCGCCTCGTTTAAGCTAATCACGCATTCCAATAAAACTACAAGAATTCCCACGTAAAACTGGTACATCCAGAGCTCCTCAGCGTAAAACATTTAGGACGGCCACTCGTGGTGGTCCTGACGCACTGGGGTCAGGAGCCTGGCTTACAGCCTGTGCTCGATTCTTCGACTCGCTGGCCGGGCACCAGCTGCAACAATTCACACCAGGCTTGGACCGGCCACGCCCGCTGCCCCCACGGGCTGTGCTGGTTGCGGGCTCGGTGCTACACTGAACGTTTTCGGAATTCGGGGTGTTGGGTTCCGTTTGTGCGTGCGCGTGCGTCTGGGTGTGCATGCATGCGTGATTATGCCAGTACGGGATCAGATGCAAATAACTGTAGTCCTTGTACAACGGCTTGACCTTGCGTGGCTTTGCGCCAGTTGCTTAGTTGAGGGTTTAGCTCAGATATGATAGACGAGCAGTGGTTAGTAGCCAGAATCACATCGGGAAGGTTCTGCCTTGTTTGAGTTTCTGCCTTGTGCAGCATCTTGAGCATGTGCATGTATGCTAGCGATGGAAAGGCAGTGACGGACCAAGTGCATCCGCCCCTGTTCATCCGCACCTCGAGCAACGCGTCCTCTCCCCTGAGTTGCAGTTTCAGGTTGGCCCGGTCGAGGACTATGCAGCCAAGCTTCGGCAGCTGCCAGAACTGAGCAGGAGAGGTGATTCAAGCTGCTTCTACACTGCTTCCTGCACACCATGATTGGTTGAGGGTCTCCTTGGGCCTCGTTGATCTGGGAAACGACAAGCAATGATGCAACCGGGAAAGAAAAGCCCAAGCCCCCGACGAAAGCGGTGATTATCGCTTTGTGTTTTACGGCACGCTGCGGCAACAGGCATGTCGACGAGTGGATGCAAACTGACAATGTCAGTATAGCTGGGACCTCAGATGCGACCGCAAAGGCATCTCAATTGGGGCAGTGCCTGGCGCGGCGCCTGGGGAGTGTAGGCGTTGACGGTCGAAGGCTGACTTTCCGCGTCGTATGTAGTTTGTCGCCTATCTCTGCCAGCCTGGCATGGTCACTTTTGGGATTTCTGCTACCGGCGGGCCATGATTTCCGAAATCTTGGCCTTGAATTCCCTTCGCCCCGGCGTTGGGCTTCGGACTGAGGTTTACATTTCCTTCGGCACTAACGTCAGGCCGAGAGAGAAGGCGGTAATTACGCACATTGCCGACTGGGGGCAGGTTCGATTAATTTGGAGTGTTGCAGCATCAAAGCTCATCGTGTTCATAACAGGTCAGCGCACAGGACTCAGCCGTCCGTGTAAACATGAGATTGAGGCTAACTGCAGACAGAAATCGTTGAAAAGCAGCGATAGCGAAAGACGGCACACGAGTACTACATGTCTCCATGAGTTTCAGATAAGCATCCTATGAGCCTCGGCATCCGGGGCTTGACAGCTCCGAGGATGCCCCTCAGCCAGTCGGTTGATCAGCGCTATCAGCACAGCCACGGCGAGTTTCTCCGCGATGATGGTGGTGATGAGGATGAAGAAGATGATTATGGTGACGACGATGGCGATGATACTCGTGATGATGGCGGCGCGATTTGAGGGTGCTGACCACAGCCAGGATGAGGAACATACTCAGACGATGCAACTGACGCTAATAGTGCGTTTGTTGCTGATCATGATCCTGATGCTGATGATGATGCTGATGGTCATAATGTGGATGATGCTGATGGTGATTGTGATGATGAGAATGATGATGATGGTGATGATGATGATGGTGATGGTGATGGTGATGATGATGGTGTTGGTGATTGTGATGGTGATGCTGATGATGATCGAGATGCTATCGATGATGCTGGTTGATGATGATGATGGTGATGATGATGATGATGATGATGAGGATGATGGCGATGGCGCTGCGATTTTTGTGGTTTTTATTCTCCTTCTTGATGCTTGTCAAGGCTTCTTGTTGATTGGTCTGCTTATCGTTCTTTTGCAGTCTGTCCGTCTCTATCCCTTGTGCTTCAAAAAGTTTTGTCTGCTCAAGAGTGTCATGGTAGGATGAATGGATGGGTTGCGAGCTCAAATTTGAAGCTCTTCTGTGCAAGCCTAGACAGCTTGAAGTAACCCGACCCAGGACCCCAAGACTGTGCAGGTTGTCCGAACGCTACTGGAGGCTGCAGAGGGCTTGCAGGAGACGCCGACCTTTCGTGGCCCCACACTTGCGCGATGGTACTTATGGGGATACCCCCGGCAACTGCGAGGCAGCCAGTAGGCTTTTACAAGGTCCTACCAGCCTATATAACAAGGCTTCTTCACTTCGGATTTTGGATGCGGCGACGACCGATACGGTTGAGACTGCCGGCATGATTCGCCCGTCGCTTCCGGAGTGGATGCAACGCTCCAGCCCTGCCCTCACACTCGCACGTGTTGTGTCCAGGACGACTTCCGATTCATTTGGGATGCACGTGAGGAGGAGGTCGAGGACCGGCGGCGGGCTTGGGAGCTTGGGGGCCTCAGCGTATTCCCCTTAAAACCCATTGGACTCTGACGTAAGCCCAAGGCATCTCCAAGCCAGAGCCCTGAACCCTGCGCTTTCTGATGACCAGAACAAAGCAAAGCTGTTTAGGAAACGTCTGAGACTGGAACAGCGCGGACGCATGTCTCTTCCCGGCCTAGTGCCCCCGTTTCATTCGTAGCCTCCGTTTAGCCATTTCCGTGCCTGGCAGTTTCCCATTGGCGTGCTAGACGCTAGCCATTAGGCCACACACAAGGTGTGGCACCTCTTATTACCCCCAATGACAAGAAGCTTGGTTTCGTGGTTGTCCGGCTGTCACTGAACCCTCGGCCTCACGGCCCTAGGTTGCCATCAGGTTCCTGGCGTGTTGTCTTGGGTACTTTCGGGGGCATGGACACTCCAAGCAAGAAGCGCAGTCTTTACGTTTCTTACTTTGTGTTTTTGGAGGCCTGGAGACCCACAAGACAAGATGTGTAGGGCATCGAAGCTCCTAGAACACCCGGAATAGGAAAGGCAGACTATTCTATGCAGGGGGTTTCGGAACCACCCAGCCAATGCAAGACATGACCCAAAAACGTTGGGCACGCTTCAGTTTCAGCGAGAAGGCTCTGAGAAGGCATTTTGTTTTGATGATGTGTCTTGTGTTATCCAGCTGACCTGGCAGAACCATTTCTTAGCGAACAGTTTCTGGTACAGTGGTTGCACCGCGTGTACATTCAGTCTGTGTGGATGCTGGAAGGCTTCAGGGTCGGTTTTGAGCGGAACAGGCCAATCCAGGTTTCACGGATTGTCGGGCATTTCAGGGAGAATGCTAGGAATGCTGCGCGTGGAGTTCGCAGGACTTTCGTTTTGCTTCCCAGCTCGTTTCGCGCCATCACCCGTAGCACAAGGTCGAGACATTACTGTCAGGGCACACCCTTCTGAGCCCTAGGCCCAAATCAAAGCTCTGGATGTTGAAGCCGTAAACCTAAGCCAGGCGAGCATCTTTGCGGCCAAGGCAGGCCATTTCAGGTTGAAAGCCGTCGGATTCACAGCCTTCCAAACCCATGACAGTCGCATTTCACATCGTCGCGAGTGCCTGCCAAGCCAAACCGACGTAGCACCCACGGAGCCCCAATCGAAGACACTGAGCCACCAAGACTTGGAGTTTCATCGTAGGCCCGAGGACCGGGGCATGCTATAGAGTTCAGCAGCTTGAATACCTTTGAGCTGCGATTCAAACTCACAGACCCGTATTTATGCAGCAAGCAGTATGAATCGAAGAGCAGCTCGCATTGAGCATGAGCCTTGCAAACAGCAGGAGAGTCAGCTCGGTGTTGGTTTTGTCATATTGCCATTAAGGGTTTCCTGGGCAGAAGTCACAGACGGCTTCGAAGCCCGCGCTTTTCAAGTTGAGGAGCCACCAGAAAGTACCGGTGCCAGTGTAAGTGTTCTGGTAACGCAAGGCACCTACACAGAACAAAATGACGCCGATTAGTCGGTTCTCGCCTGTCCGGTGGGCATAAGACGGTTTTGGCTTCAGCTTTTCCTTTCTGTAAGAGGCTTCTCGCTGCTGCGTGCATCCCTAGGACAAGACTTGTGAACCACGGGAGGCCAAAGGCTTGCAACAATGAGCAATCGTAGTACAAAATACTGGCACCTCAACTAAAGTGAGCCTTCATGATATCCGATGCCACAAACATTTGTAAAGATCCAGCGGAAGGTTTTTTGATGAATCGGGCACCAATCTGCTCAACCACAGCAATGCCACAGATGCCAGAGGCTCATTCAGCTGCGTTGCCAGCCAACGTGCTTTTTGCAGCCGGGGTGCCGGGCGCCCACACGCAGGGTGGATACTGTGATTTTGATCTGGCAAATGAACACGAGTATGTGCTGGCGATGTCGCTTAATTATTCATTCTCGCACGCGATGTTCTGAAAACGATGAATGTTATGCAGCTTTCTATGGTTATCTGATGAAGAGGATCGGGATGCTAGGTTGATGCCCGCCAGCATCATCATGAACAGCATCATCATTAGCTGCAGCGTTGCCGTCACCATGGTCTTCATCAAGCCACCTTCATCATCGCCCCGCTTCTCATGTCCCTTCACTTCTTCCACTTCTTCCTCAGCCCCATCCTCAGCGCCGCCATCACCATCACTACCACCAATAGAACCGTCGCCCTTACCACCGCTGCCGCCACCGCCACCACCGCCACCGCCACCACCACCACCACCACCACCACCACCACCACCACCACCACCACCACCACCACCACCACCAGCGACCCATCATCATCAACATCATCATCATCGCCATCATCGTGGCTATCACTTACTTCGTTGGTGCTCATTCTCGCCGCATTCATATTTACCTTCAGCTTTCGCTATCGCCAGCATCAGTGCTGCAACCTCATCACACAATCATCGTAGCCTCATAGAACTTACTTCTGTAATGCCCAGTGCTACGGTTACATTCACAACCGCCGTCGTCAACGCCGCCACGATCGTCCATATCTCCATCCGTGCGCTAACTTTTCAAGTGTTTCCATCATCAGGCANNCCCCCCCCCCCCCCCCCCCATCCCCCTCCTCTGCTTCACCACACGCAACATCGTCATCATTATCCTTTATTGTCTCTTCGTCACCGCAGGCATCGACATCGTCGCCTCCACTGTCATCATCACTCTCGCCCTGATGACATGAGTCGTCTTGTTGTTCAATTTCAGGTCTGCATAGCTTCCTGATATCTTCGAGAGCTCGTTCACCGCCGACAGTTGAGAAGCGATGCACATGTTCTTTCATTAACAGCCCCTATCAGACCTCCAAACCATTACCGTGACGCCACGAGTCGAGCCCTTCATTGTCAGAAATCTGCACAGGCTGAGTGCAGCCGACATCCCAAGCCAGGCCGCAGCTTCGAGTGTTGGCCAGCGGCCGCATCTCGATCTTTGTCACGCACTGCGGCCGCCCAACTGAAATGTGGGCTCGTTTCTGCGGGGCATTAGTTGCTTCCCCCACGCAACAACAAGGGAAGGCAAGCACAGAACTACTGCTGTAATTAAGACGAACGACTAGCTCCAACAAACGAGACAGGCATGAAGAGTGAAGATGCACTTTGCAGTGAGATGGCGAGACTTATTCGACCGTGAGAGTGGATAGTGCGGCCCGAACGGGTCATGATGACACGAGCAAGGCATCGTGCCAAAGCTTCGTGAAAACGCCACTTCCGAAGTAAGGGGAAGAGGATGTGAGTGCTGCTTGCAGGGAATTGAGACACTACTCGTAGCTAGATTGGTGGTTTATATATCTGACTGGAGGGATGGTAGTTGCGATTTGCAGTTGTCATCTTTATCGCCGATGCAGACACCATCACCACCATCGTCATTTTCACCATTGTCATCATCGCCATCACCGCCTCCACGACCATCATCGTCGTGATCGTTAAACCAGGTACCATGAGGTTAAGTAGCCGTCGTGGACATCATAAACATCTCCATCCATCACTACCATGATCTCAAAGACGAACAGAAAGCTGAAGCGGCTGGAAGCGTAACTCAGTAACAGCAGCAGCAGCCGCAGCAGCAACAGTGGCAGCGGCAGCTGCCCCGGCAGCGGCAGCAGCAGCAGCAGCGGGTTGGCGGCCGCAACTTCAGCCGCAGACACATTACCATCATCATCATAATCATCGTCATCACCACCATCACCACCATCGTCCTCGTCCTCGTCCTGGTCATTACCATCATCATCATCACGATCACCATCACAATCAGCATCATCATCATCACCACCACCACTGTCACCATCATCATCATGATCATGATCATCACCATCATCACCATCATCATAATCACCATCAGCATCGCCATCATCAGCATCATCAGCAGCAGCACCATCAGCATTACCATCAGCGTCACCATCACCATCATCATGATCATCAAGATCATCATCGCCAGCATTTTCAACATCACCATCACCATCGTTATCATCATTATCATCGTCATCATCGTCATCGTCATCATCGTCATCATCATCATCATCACCATCATCATCATCATCATCATCATCATCATCATGTTCATCGTCATCGATCTTCTCCTCCTTCTCCTCCTCCGCCATCTCCCAACCATCATCTTCTTCTACATCCTCAGCATCACGGTTCTAGGTATCATTAAAGTCTTCGTCCTCGTCACCATCGTTATCGTCATCGTCGTCGTCATCATAAGCATCATCACCATCATCGCCTCATCCCCCCAAATCCCATCCGCCTATCCGCAACATCATGCAGATGTGAAGAAGCTATCGCAACGAAAAACCAGCTCGGAAATGGCGTTGGCTTCATGCTCAGGCCTGAACTCTGTCCACGAGGCCAGGACCGTCATTTGACCAGCTTGATCCACTTGCAGGCAGCGGATGTAGCACATTTGGAGTCCTCATACAAGGAGCTTGGTTGGGGTTCGAATTGCATGCAGGCCTTGCACTTCGGGGTGCCGATGCTGGGCCTCCGCCTCAAGCTATCAGCCCTGTGTCAGGCATTCTGGATCCACTCTCACGTCGCTCCGAATTCTTCGTGAACTCCAAGACGTCCTTGCACACTCGTTCGTGTAGGCCTCTGAACTCTGCCAGGCAAGGCAGCCCTCAAAACACTGGAAGTGCTTAGCATGGCCACGCAAAAACTATGATACTCTTTGGCTTTTCGTAGTCTGCTCCAGAATCCATTCCCGCCACAGTCACGTGCAGCTCCACCTCCACAAATCGTGCTCCCGCCACAGTGGCGTGTTTTCTCGGGGGATTGCTTCCTCTTTCCACCTCAAGACGCCACAGTCCTGCACACACTGTCGGGCTCCGTTCCCACCAGCTTCCATGTTTGCAAAATCCTGGCAGGGCAACTGTTCGGCCTCTCGCCATTCCGTGTGGCGGGCGGGGTGGGGATGGACGAGCTGTTGTTCGGAATGTTGGCTCAGTCAAACCACAAGCATCGCGATGTCGCTGCATGGTGATATCGCTGTTCTCGTGCATGAAACGCCGACTATGACCGACTTGCTTTTTTCTTCATGCGCACTTGAGCCTGTGCAACTTCCGGAATCTGTGGCCGCGCGAGGCAGCACTTGACACGATTCCATGCAAGATCCAGCTACCGCATCCTTTCCACATTTCTTGCTGCTTCTCTTGCCTTGAATATATGCTTAACCTTGAGATGCCGCGACTGCACATGGCGAACCTCAGCAGCAGTTTCCAGATTTGCCATGGGAAGCGCGGTGACAACCGTATGTCGGCCCCGACCTACATACCCACCTACCATTTGCAATGGCTCGTCACTCCAGTTGCTTGCCGACGTAATCACGGGGCTTCCGTTGGCCGCGTCACTCATAAAGAGGAGCTGGCCGTGCCTCACGAGCATGATAGAAGAGACTCGAGATTTTTTGTTGACCCAGGCCTCCCGTTTGTGGGCGACCAGATGGTCACGGCCAGGTTTGCCGCTGGTTTCTGTATTAAGAATGCAATGCTTGGTTCGAGGACAATCCGGAGTGTTCCATGAGAGAGACAGGGAGAGGTGCGATTCACCTGTGTTCATTGTGGCGACACTTGCAAGCAGGGGTGGGATGCCGCGAAACTCAAGAGTGTGTGATTTGCATTGCTCGTCAGCGTTGTGAAAGTCTGCAGGAACTCACGGTTCGGTTTCTGGAGGAGTCGCACATGCACCGGGGCACAAGGGTCCTTTTGCCAGGCTTATTGTAGAGAACGGAGCAGCGCTGCGGCTGCATGCCGTTGGCTCAGTGCTGTATTCCGCGACGCGAGCTTTGGCTTGTGCCACGCAATTTGCCGATTTCTCAAGATGGGTTCACGTTGAGTTGACATGGAGATCTGAGCCGCCCAACATGTCAAACCTGTCGGTTCAAGATCCGAACTGGCAAGATCCTTCCCTCGGAACTTGGGGAGGTGTCTGGGATGTTTTGCTCCCGACAGGTAATTCCCGGTGACATGTACTTCAGAGGGAGATGAGATGTTGATTGCAAGGCTGCAGCAGCAGTTCGTGGTAGTGCCGCATCCACATGTCCAGGTCTTCAGGCTGTCGGGCTCAACTCGCAATTCTTGCACGGGCGAGCCTCGATATCGAGCCGAATCATATGGTCTTCATGCTGCTCATCATCCGCTGGTATGCCATCGCCGCCACCAATTCCAAGAGCACCTCCGAGACGACGATGACGGACGGACGACTGCAACGACTGCGACGACTTCGGCCAGAACTATGAGGACGATGTCGACTCGACGACGGCGGTGACGAGGACGAGGAAGACGAGGCGGACGACGACCACGACGACAGCTGAGCCCGCTACAGTGTCACCTTCGTAATTGCTGAAGATGTTGTTAAAGTTATGATTGTTGTTGTCATCGTTGTTGCTGCTGCTGTTTTTGTTGTGGTTGTCGTTGTTGTGGTTTGTTTGTGTCTTTGCTGGTTTGTGTGTTTGTTTGTCTTTTGTTGCTTGTTTGTTTGTTTGTGGTTCTGGTTCTGGTTGTGGCTGTGGCCGTGGCTGTGGTTGTGGTTGTGGTTGTGGTTGTAGTTGTTGTTGTTATTGTTGTTGTTGTTAGTGGTGGTGGTGGTGGTGGTGGTGGTGGTGGTGGTGGTGGTGGTGGTGGTGGTGATGGTGTTGGTGTT